GTAGTTTTAGGTAGTTTTTTCCTACAAGTGTTTGCCTATAAATAGCCATTCATGGCTACATTGTAAAAGATCTAGAATTCAAATCAAAGACAATTGATTTCAATATTTCTTGTCATTTTCCTTATTTTGGGAGTAGTTTAATATAGATTTATATTTCGAAGCATTTATTTTCAGCACTTCATTTTCTACACTTTATTTTATGCACTTCATTTTCGAAGCATAGGAGTAGAGGAAAGTTCTCTGCACTTTATTTTACGCACTTCCTTTTCAAAGCATAGGAACAGAGGTAAGTAATTATTAATTTGATTGTTCACTCAATCGTCTTTCTCCATCTCCCTCATTCTTCTATTAAGTTTTCTTTTCCTACACTTGGCAATTTTGAAGTCCACTTTGTTGAGGCAAAAGAACCGTCAACGCAATTGCTTAATAATTGGCTTGAATTTAATCTGTAAGGATTTTTCAATCCTTGCTAGCACACTCGCATTTATGGTATTTTCTTTCGTAGGAAAAATAAGCCAACAATTACATTTCCAGTTCATTATGTGTACTGATATACAAAAGGAGAATTACAAATCAGTGAGAATTAGAGAAATTATTTATGAAAAAAAGATAAACATTATAAATATTAATAATTAAAATTATATATTTTATATTTTATATTTTTTTATATATAATTTTTCTGCATTCCACCGATCTATAATTCTCCCATATACAAATAAAAACTACACTATTGGGACTTATCATTTTAAAATAAAATATTAATATCACACCATTCTAGGAAAAAAGTAAGTAAAACAAAGGCCCATTTTAGAAAAATTGACTTTTTAATTTTTTTTTTAAACTTTTTTAAGTCACATCATATTTTTACATTTTTTTTAAAAAGTCAAAAAATAAAAATAAAAAAATCAATTTTTAACCAACATTCCAAAACACTCTAAAATAAAATAAAAAAAATTACTCATCTTATGTGTCATTCAAGTAATAAAAATGTTCTTTATTAGATGTAAGCTCTTTTACATAGGGATGAGAATTTGAAACCGGCCCGACGGAGACCCGATCCCGATTTATACGGTTTTTCCCCGAAAAATTCCCCCGACGGGACGGGGACGGTGTTCAAAAATTATTCCCCGATTAATTTCGGGCCGGGAATAGTGATAAGTGCCAAATCCCCGATCTCGGCCCGGCTGTCCCCGACGTGTTATATATATATATATAATATAGTATGCTTTATATAATATAATATAATATATCTTATCTCACTTTACTTTTCTCTCTCTCTCTCTCTCTCTCTCTCTCTTAGTCTCACCAACTCATCACAGTCTCTCTCTCTCGTCTCTCACTCACTGACTCATCTCTCTCTTCTCACTGCGTCTCTCATCTCTGTATCCCTCACTGAGATCTCACTCAGATTTTTCTCACTTCTTATCATCATCATCAACATTATCCACATCGACCACCACCACTGATCTAAACAGATCGTGAACCGTGGTCCGTCCGTGAAGCTATCCGTGGTCCGTTCGATCGATGTCTTGATCAATGGAAAGATCGTGAAGACCTCTCTCTCTCTATTCAGATCCTGTCATATTCAGATCTGACTCTTTGTTCTCTAGATTTACATCCACCATTGAACAGATCTGTTATTGTTGGTGTAAATCCTATCACTTTCTCTCTCGAATCGTATTTTTTTAATTTTTTTATTATGTAAATTTAGATCTGTTATTGTTGTTGTTGTTGTTGATGATGAAACGGATTGCCACATAGTAATTTTATTTTTCTGTTCTTGTGTTTCGACTTTTTTTTTTCTTCTTCAGGTCTGCGTTTCAGCCCTCTCCTCTTCAATTTCTGATTTTTTTTACATATGATGATTGTTGTTGAAAACAGATTATTTTTTATTTTTCTTGTTCTTGTGTTGTGTGTTGAACAAAAAAAAAAAAATTGGCCCGGGATATTTCGGGGTCGGGGAAACCCGATCCCCGTTAGGGGGCGGGGGCGGGGGGAATGATGGGTTCCCCGTCGGGGATCGGGACGGGGACGGGGGATTTCCACCATCGGGGATCGGGGACGGGGAGGGTGATCCCCAGCCCCGCCCCGCCCCGTTGCCATTCCTATAATCAGTCTCAATTTAACAGTAATCAGTGGTTTATCAATAAACAGTGGTGAGGGTTGTCACAGTCTCCCCTCCTTATAAAGAGTTTGGTCCTTCAAACTCGAATTTCCTTCATTTTGGAAGAAAACAGGATTCAGTGAG